CTCTCCCACCAATCATGTACTATAGGGTGGGGAGAGTGACGATCTACCAACCATTCAACAAATACAAGATCTTTCCACGATTTTTGATATTTTTCAAAAAAAAAAAAGGTGGGGAGAGATTCGCGAATCTCCCCCCACCTACTTTCCCCACCAATCATGTAGTATAGGGTGGGGAGAGTGAAGATCTACCAACCATTCAACAAATGTAAGATCTTTTCACGATTTTTCACATTTAAAAAAAAAAAAAAGTGGGGGGACATTCGTGAATCTCCCCCCACCTACTTGTTTCACAAATCATATACTATAGGGTGAGGGAAGTGACGATCTATGAATCAATGACCATATCAAACATTTTCGTCATTTAAAAAAAAAAAAAAGGTGGGGAGAAAGACGATCTACCAACCATTCAACAAATGCAATATCTTTCCACGATTTTTGATATTTTTTCGAAAAAAGAAAAGTCACTTTCTTTCCCCGTCAATGATCCACTATAGGGTGGGGAAAGTGACGATCTGCCAACATGAGGGAAGGTTAACAACAGTCGTATTTTTCATCACCACTTCAGGATTCCCTTCACCACTTCAGGATGCAGACAGCCTGCCTAAACAGGTGGTTTTTAGGGTCTTCGGACTTTCAGCATTTCAGGACCATTCAGGTCTGAAAATCCTGAATGTTCCTGAAGTGGTGAAAGCTCCAAAGACCCTGAAAACCACACGTTTAGGCAGGCTGCATCCTGAAGTGGTGAAGGGTGGTTTTCATGGTCTTCGGACCTTTCACCACTTCATGACCATTCAAGATTTTTAGACTGCCAAAAAATCTCACTTGACCACTTCAGGACACCTTTCACCACTTCAGGATGCAGTCTATCTAAACACGTGGTTTTTAGGGTCTACGGACCTTTTACCACTTCAGAACCATTCAAAATTTTCATACTGCCCAAAACTCTCACTTCAGAATTTTCGTTCCTGAATTTTCAACTACCCGATCACCGCTTGTGGCCAACCTATGATTATATCAAACATTTTACCATTTTTCGAAAAAAAAAAAGTAGGGGGAGATTCCCCTCACCTGCTTTCCCCACCAATCATGTGCTACAGGGTGAGGAGAGTGGAGATTTACCAAACATTCAACAAATGCAAGATCTTTTCACGATTTTCGATATTTTTTCGAAAAAAAAAAAGGTGGGGGGATTCACGAATCTCCCCCCCACCTACTTTCCCCACCAATCATCTACTATAGGGTGGGGAAAGTGACGATCTACCAACCACTGAACATATCAAACATTTTCGTCATTTTTCGAAAAAAAAAAAGGTGGGGGGAGTTTCGCGAATCTTCCCCCACCTACTTTCCCCACCAATCATATACTATAGGGTGGGGAAAGCGACGATCTACCAACCTATGATTATATCAAACATTTCGTTATTTTTCGAAAAAAAAAAGGTGGGGGGAGATTCGCGCGAATCTTCCCCCACCTACTTTCCCCACCAATCATGAACTACAGGGTGGGGAGAGTGGAGATCTACCAACCATTCAACAAGTGCAATATCTTTCGACAATTTTCGATATTTTTTCGGAAAAAAAAAAAGTGGGGGGAAATTTTTGAATCTCCCCCCACCTACTTTCCCCACTAATCATCTACTATAGGGTTGGGAAAGTGACGATCTACCAACCAATAAACATATCAAACATTTTTGTCATTTTTCGAAAAAAAAAAAGTGGGGGGATTTTCATAGATCTCCCCCCACCTACTTTCCTCACCAATCATGTACTATAGGGTGGGGAAAGTGACGATCTACCAACCTTTGATTATATTAAACATTTTCGCCATTTTTCGAAAAAAAAGGTGAAGGAAGATTCGCGAATCTCCCCCCATCTATCAGGCGCCGAACTTTGAAATGACGCTCATTCGTTTCTCAAGCGCAACGAAAAGAAGAAATAAAAAAGGTCAAACAAAAAGTGAATGGGAGAGAGAGAAAAGGGATATTCACACGTACCTTTGCGAGTCATCATTAAGACAGTGCAGAGGGTATAACGCTGCTCTTGTCTCGTTTCTTATCTATCCTTTCGTTTACCCTCCTTTTATCTACTCCTCAAGTATCCCTTGATTCCTCTCTTCTCTCATTTTCATCTCTCTTCCCTTGTAGGTTTGCACTATCTTCTCCACTCCACGCTTCTCTTCTTGTCTCTTGCCTTCCCCCAAACAGAAGAAGAAACATGAAGAGGAAGCATCGTCGAAAGTCCACCACAAGCTGCAGTTGTAAGGAGAAATGAAGCACACGGCGGAACCAACGGAGAAGAGGCCGGTGACCACGGAAAGAGGTCGGCATTCAAGGCAAAAAAAGAGAGCAGTACCAACGCGAAAGAGGCCGGTACCAACCCCGAAATAGGCTGGTACCAACGAAAAAGAGGCCGGTACTAACGAAAAAGAGGCCGGTACCAGTGAAAAGAGGCCGACACTTTTTTTTTTCCTTCTCGCGGGCCCACAGTAGGGAACGCGCGGCCTGCCAGCAACGTTTTGGAGAATACTAGCCCTCCCCCAGACCAGACGCGAGATTTCTGCGTTGTCATTCACGACTCACCGCCTGCGTTCTTTCGCACCTCTCCGCCTGCCTCCACCGTGCTCCACCTGCCCTGCCCCCCCCCCCCCCCCCCCCCCCCCCCCCCCCCCCCCCCCCCCCCCCCCCCCCCCCCCCCCCCCCCCCCCCCCCCCYCCCCTCGGGCTCCGTGTGCCTCCGCTGACCTCCGCCGACCTCCGCCGGCCTCCGCCGGCCTCCGCTGTGCTCCGCCGACCTCCGCTGGTCTCCGCCGACCTCCGCTGGCCTCCGCCGACCTCCGCCGGTGTCCGCCTGCCTCCGCGTGCCTCTGCCCACCTCCGCCGACCTCCGCCGGTGTCCGCCTGCCTCCGCGTGCCTCTGCCCACCTCCGCCGCTGTCCGCCTTCATCCGCCTTCATCCGCCGACCTCCACCGACCTCCATTTGCAACCACCACCAGCCGTCGGCACAAGGTAACCTCTCTCTCTCTCTCTATGTATATGTGGTACTCTCCCTCTCTCTCTCTCTATCTATCTATCTATCTATCTCTATCCCTCTCTCTCTCTCTCTGAGTGCACAACCTCGTTTCCCAACATGGTTTCCCTTGTCACCTTTGTGCACTCAGAAAAAGAATGGTTTGGTTTCCCTTGTCACCTTTGTTTTCACATTCAAGGATAAGAGTTTTCGCATTAGACATTCTCGTCAGAAAATAACCATCCCAACTCTATTTCATGAAAACAACCCACGATACAGTCTGGAGTCGGACCTCTTTCGTCAAAGCCACCCTTTTTTATTTTTTTTCTGAAACTTAACCATTATTGTATCAAAAAGAGCTTCTGATCACACGACTACTCTCTCCCTCTCTCTCTCTCTCTCTCTCTCTCTCTCTCTCTCTCTCTCTCTCTCTCTCTCTCTCTCTCTCTCAACTCTGTTTTACGAAAAGAACCCACGACATACAAATGTTATTCGGACCTTTTTCGTGAATACCATATTTTTTTATTCGTTTTTGAAACTTTACCATTGTTCGAAAAAGAACTTTCGATAACAAGATCTCTCTCTCTCTCTCTCTCTCTCTCTCTCTCTCTGTGGTATCATCATCGATATGGTGTATCTGTGTCTGGGTGTGAGTCTGCGTCTGTGTGGGCGGGGGGAATGGGGGACGTCTGGCACGAACGAAAAGTCGGGGGGGGGGGGGGGGGGGGGGGGGGGGGGGGCCGATGACCACGGAAAGAGGCCGGCATTCAAGGCAAAAAAAGAGAGCAGTACCAACGCGAAAGAGGCCGGTACCAACCCCGAAACAGGCCGGTACCAACGAAAAAGAGGCCAGTACCAATGAAAAAGACGCCGGTACCAGTGAAAAGAGGCCAGCACTCTTTTTTTTTCTTCTCGCTGGCCCACAGTAGGGAACGTCCGGCCTGCCAGCAGCGTTTTGGG